ATCAGATTGCCTGCATGCAAATGATTTCCATAATGCCTCTTAGATTATAATCTCCACTTGTATAAGGATTTACTTAACTGCTTATACAGTGTATTGCTTAGTACCAATTGTTAAACTGACACAGAAAATATTTGCCAATTCCAAACACTTAGAAAGGAAATAGATTCATCTATGTTATCCTATGATGACCGAAGGCTTTGGACATACTGTATATATGTAAGTGAATCATTTTAGGGCTATAAACAACTCGTCCACTAGACCATACACTTCATTAGATAAAAAAGAACAGAAGCAAGCAAACAGCTGAGACATTCCATGTAATTTTTCTTTTTTTCCAGTTACAAGTCTTAGACCGTATTTTTCCAGTTTCACATTAGACCTCAAAATCACAGTATTTCTATTATTTGTGAAGGACTGAGGACAAGAGAAATGCGTTCAGACTCACCTTCTAACAATAAAGGCAATTAAGCTCAAAGGAAAGCTGATTTCTAACTGTCAATGTTCTTCTGCAAGATGACATTTGTAAATCTGCTGAAATCCAGAGAGAATTTTATTCCACACTTTGATTTTTACATCAATAAAATCTTAGATATAACAATATAAATGAAGGAACAACAATTTAATTTGTATTGAAATAAATATTAGATATACAAAGCACACACAGTGAAAAAGGGTCACAATAAATTACAAGCAGAGACATTATTTTGCTCAATCACCAAAGAAAGCCCTTGGTACTTCCAATTCCACACCATCAAATTTCTCATTCTTGCTGATTTAAGCAGAACACAAAACAAATATGGATCCCAGGGCTTACTTCCACAGGTACCAGCATGGATAATTTACCACCATGATCCAATTTGGAAATCAGCAGGGACCAGTAAATCGCTGCATAAAAGCAAGAGCGAATGAGGTCTTTTTTCCTTAGTGTCAGCAGGCTGTGATTATTATGTTTATTAGATTTTCTTGAAAGAACTTCACATTTTCTCAAATATGCAGGAGAACTATACTTCCCCTCTGAGCCCTACATTAGCACTTATGTGCTTTGGTCTTGAATACAGGGGAATGATGAATTTTTCAATTTATTTTATAAATTTATATAGTCTGGACAGCATTGGCCTGAAGAATATAACCCCCCAACCAGTACCATATTAGATATTAAAAATGGATTCAAGAGAAGTTACTAAGAAATGCTGACACACTGTACATACACATTTTTTAGTTCAATATATTCCATTATATAAAGCACCAGAAGTAATGCATTTATAAATTCAGCAGTTTTTCTTGACTCTGTTTCTAATCTTTGTAACCCTTTTACATTTATTCCAATATATACTCATCATACATGTTACCTGCCCAAGACTTTACCCATTTGGTATCAACTTATAAAAATATATGCAGGCAAAAATTAATGTAAAAAGGAACTGTTCTATCCTAAAGTTACAAAGCAAAATAGTAAATGTTTGAGATTAAACTGTCATGAACCAAGAAAAAAAGGTTAGTTTCAAAGTGCTGAGCATGTCAAAAAGTAGCTTCAGAAGACTATGAAGGAAAAAAAAATGAATGATTATTAGGCCCTTTTTTCTACTGGAATGTGAGTTAAGTGTTAGACTCCAGCAAAGACATCCGTTCATAATTTTTCCCTATAATTTTCTAAGAACGGACTCTGCTTTAGATTTTTAAAATACTGTATCTTGTCACATCGACTCAAATGCAATACAGGTTAGATTTCCTATATGACAAGTGGAGAAAGACCTTAGAGTTAATCTCCCACACAGGACTATGTTCCTCCTAAGAATACCCTTAGAACAGAAACACTTCCTAGAATAATTACCACTGGGAAACTGCCCAAACTTTCAGCAGGATCCTTACCATTAATTCCAGTTCCAGCAACTTTCTACCATGTATATAAGAAGACTGCTCATTAAAACAATCTCTGGAAACAACTTGTAGATTTATACTGGTATGCCTTTGGTATGCTATCTGTAGAACTATTCTATCATACAGCCTCTGTAGCATTCTTCTAATCCTAGAAAATGTTAAGAGAAACTAGTTACGTTTGCAACCTAAACTTAATTTTCAAATCAAGGTACCATTCTTGATATAATAGCCAAAGTTCTCAGTATGGATTTATATTACTGTGAAAAGTTTAAATTGTAAAAGAGCTTGACCTGGTTATATCCAGTGTACCCACAAACTGAAAAAAACGTAAGTACCATTCTACACATGTGAAAATGAAGGAGAAAGAGCAATTTTATATTACAGTGTTTAGGTAATTTAGGCACTTAGTATGAAAAGAAAAAACCAGAGGAGCCATGATCTGAAGGATGCCACTTCCAGTGTGGCCTATTCACTGTTTTCTTAGAAAGAACGCCTTAACAGGGTTCTTCTTTTGAACACCCCAATATTTAAAAAATATTCTCACAGTAAATGCTTATTAAATATTTGCTCAATATTGGATGGTTACATATCAAAAAGGGCCATGGAATTCATATCCTTGGTGGTACGGCTGACTCGGCACTTTTAATGGCATTTCACCTTCCAATACAGCATGTGAAGATGGGGGCGCTACCTGAGGAAAGTGCGCCACCTACTGCTTGTAAATGCAACTATCTGCGGCTACTTCCTTAAGGTCTCATAGCTGAGTATAAAAGTTACTCTAACTTGGGTGACAGTTTTGGCACCAGCAGATCCTAAGATTTTGCAGGGGATAGGGGGACCAAAATAACTACATTAAGCAAAATATATTCGTTAGCATTAGTTAAGGATCTTTATTTTGATCCCTCAAAATTAATTTCATTCATTCTGATCTAAAACTTTTAAAAAACTCCCAAATATCTCAGTTCTACTTGTCTTATTACATATACGCTCATTTTATTTAGAATAAATAATATTTTTGTCCCAAACATATAAACTTTGAAACTTATAAACCATATGAACTTTTAATCCTGCTCTTCAGGAAGAAGGAAGTATCGACAGCTTTGCAATTCTTAGTTATATAACAGAACTCATTAATCTTTCATAATTTCTAATTTAATATTAGCCTGCCTTGATTTTCTCTGTAAGAGCTGTTCTTAAATATCCAAATTTAAGGAGTTTTTAAAGTTAGCTTGCTTTCTTCCAGGAGCATCTACCTCAGTGAATTTTATTCCAAAAATTTTTAAATACAAATTGTACTTAAGAAATTTCTCTTTAGGTTGATGTTAAACAGTTTAAATTTTAAAAGAATCATGTATACAATGAATATAGAATCTTTGCTAGAATAAAGTAGGTTTTGTATAAGGTTTCTGTCTGTGCAAGAGGGTGTAATATTTAAGTGCTAGAACCATAGCACTACACCACTCCCTGAAGAATTGGATATTCTGGATGTTAAACCAACATCTTTCAAACCTGTAAGTAACAATAAGTTCAGCTATGCAGTAACAGTTAATTTCTCCAGCATCCATTCTATATACTGCTATTATACAAGGAGAACCCCCCAAAAAACCCATAATTTATTAATTAAAAATTGTGTATTGAAATGTTTTAACTTCAGTCAACTTTAAAGTACTCTCTGCTTGATGCAATCACCTATTGAGATGCTTTTTCCACTGCTCAACAGAGTTTTTGAACTTGCCCATTTTGATGACTTTTAGTACTTCTGTTTTTGTTTCACCTCTTCTACACCAGCAAAAGGTTTCCCTTTGAGGATTTTTTTTCATGGGGAAACAAAAGAGTCACTCGGGGCAAGATCAGATACATAGGGAAGGTGGGGGACAGGAGTCATGCTGTTCTTTGGTAAAAAAGTGCTTAACACTCAGCATGGTGTGGGCAGGTGTGTTGTCATGGTGGAAACCAGTCACCTGTTTGCCACAATCCGGGACATTTCTTCTGAGAATGTGATGTAATTTTCTCAAAACTTTGATAAAAACTTTGGCTGACTGTTTAATCCAGGGCAACAAATTCTGAGCGTACTACAAGGGGCCTGCCCTCTAGAAAGGTAATTCCAGTTTTTTTGGGGTCCCTCTTGTATTTCCTTAATTTTGACAGATACATGTAACAGTATAATTTCAGATGCCAAATCAGCTGGTTGTAAATGCAAGCTAAACATGTGGTAACGCTCAAATTGTAAAATTTACTTTTTCATGAGTTTAAGAGTATTTTATTTATATATTAAGCCTTCATTTAAGGAACAACACTATATTTTCAATTAGACAAACATGAGTATATCAGAAATATTATAATCCTGTTATAAGAAGTCTCAATTTAAAGCATAGTGCTTTATACTGTAGTAGCACTACACCACTCCCTGAAGAATTATTTCCTTTAGAAAATCTTGCTCACCTACAGTAATTTTCAACATAAAATGGAAAAGCTTGAGAGACACTTACAGATTTAAAAGTAAAAGACAATAATGGTAAAAACAGCACACAAAAGGAAAATGAAAAAAACTGATGAAATCCAAATAAGTTTTATACTTTAGTTAACAGTTCTGTTCCAGGGTTAATAACTTACTTTGGGTAAATGTTCTACAGTTTTATAAAATGTTAACTTAAGAGGAAGCTGAGTAAAGAGTATATAAGAACTCTCTGTACATTTCTGAAACTCTTCTATAAATCTAAAAGTATCTAGATTTTTAAAAAATTATAGGAAAAAATCTAATAACTTCAAAATAAATATGCCTTCAGCAGCCAAAATTTCTTGATATAATTCAAGACTCAATTTTTAAAAACATAATTAAAAATCAGTATTATGTTTACTTAATATTATAGTCACTTTATTGCTCTAGAAAGTTTAGTTTTTAAAACCATTGGATTACATATACAGTGATAATGAGGCTAGCCACACACACACAAAATCAACTGTATATTATGAGGCTGCTTCTCCAACTTGGTGGACAAATATTACAAAAATACAAAAATAGCTGGTAATAGTTAAGCTATCAAGTAGAATTGTTCTGTTAATCTATTCTAAGAATGTCATCTTTCTATAGATTAGGAAGATGAACAAAAAGAAAACTGATGTTACTGATAAATTGCTAATGAATGTATTTGAGAAATCCAAATTACATGCAGACAGAAGAAAAGCGGTTACAAAAACCATTACATTACTCCATACTAAAATTGTACAATGTTCTAAACATTTCCAATCATGCAACAGTAATGAGGATCAAAATGAATTTTATAAGAGTTGATGGGAGCTCAATGAACAGGATTTAACAAATTATATAAACCAAATCACAGTTGCATAATACATCCAATTTATCTATAACATTAAGAGACTGAAATGTACACTATCTGCTACAACTCCTCCCCTGGCCCCATTACCTTACCTATAAACCTTTCAGCTTAATCTTTTAAATCAGATTTGATGGGTAAATATGTAATCTACAACATACTCTTCATTATTACTTTAGAACAGACACAAGTATAGTCAGATGCTCAATCTTCAGTTACATTCCTCTCAAAAGGCATCTGAACTGTTGGAATCATCTATGAAAATTCAAGCCTAAGAAACTGAGAAAACTGGCAGTCAAGAATCTGAACTAGGTAGTTCTACAAACTATAATACTATGTGTCAACATTTGTAAAAGGATTTCCTATTTGAGATATGTTACCCAATGAGTCTCTGAGAGGAAAGCTGTGCCACTACTGCTTCCTGACATACAATGGCTAGGTGCTAATATGTATCCAATCGGCTAACAAGCTTTCAGTTGAGTCATTTTTAAAATACTCAAGGCCACAGAATTACTTATGGAAACAAAACTTTAGAAGGTCATAGCATAAGATACATAAAGAATTCTTCTTAAAATGATACATTCAAATAAATCTGTCCTAACAAAGCAGCATAAGATCAATTCAATAACAATTTGAAATTAAACACAGTGGGATGTGCTTCTATTAAAATCATTAACCAAAATTACTGATTGGCAGAAGAATACTGTCTCAAAATTTACTGAATTCACATATGTTCATATTACCATAGTAAACTCATGCCAGATATAAACTCAGGTTACCAACTAGGTTGAAACAAATTTTAGAGCTATGTTTACAAGAGAAATAAATGTACTTCATGATATAGGCACAACAGCATCTAAAAAAATTTTGGTACATTTGTTACTACAAACAAACTTTCTCAACCATTAGCAACACAGCAAAATTTTCTCAAAACTTTTTAAGCTTGATTTAACATGCCAGGAAAAATGATTATTTTTTCACTGAGATGCATTATGCAAATTACATAAATTGGATTGAGGCCAGTGCAACACCTGGAATTTACAACCCCCTAGTCCAAGTACCAGCTGCTAATAATGGTTGTATTGAATGGATAGCTTAACTGGATGCTCAGCTACGGAGCTGTGGGTGCCAATCTGCTTATGAAGGCGATGCTCTGGAGACAAAGCCTTCTCACAAACAGCGGGCAAGCAGGCTTCATGATTATGTGTTCAACGACAATCCTCAGCTCATTAAACAACGTTCTGCAAGACAAAATGGTTTTTTTTCAGAAACATGAGGAAAAAGCAATATTCAGGCACACCTCATTTTACTGTATCCTACATATATTTGTTTTTTTAAAAAACAAATGGAAGGTTTGTGGTGACCCTGCATAGAGCAAGGTATCAATGTCATTCTTCTACCAGCACATGTTCATGTCATGTCTGTGTCACATTTTGGCAATTCCCACAATATTTCAAACATTTTCATTATTATTACATCTGTTATGGTGATCTGTGGTGTTACTATTGTAATTGTTCTGGGGTGCCACAAACCATACCCATGTAAGAAAGATAACTTAATTGATAAATGTTGTAAATATAGTGACTGCTCCCACAGTCTGCTCTCTGACTCTCTCTCTACTCAGATACCTTTTTCCCTGAGACACAACAATGCTGAAATTAAAATTAGGCCAGTTAATAATAACCCTTCAATGGCCTCTTAGTGCTCAAGTGAAAGGAAGAGTCCCACGTCTCTCACTTTACATCAGAAGCTAGAAATGATTAAGCTTAGTGAGGAAGGGATGTCTAATGTCAAGACAGACATAAGTTAGGCCTCTCGTAGCAGTTGGGCCAAGTTGTGGATGCAAAGGAAAAGTTCGTGAAGGAAATTAAAAATGCTACTCCAGTGAACACATGAATGATAAGAAAGTGGGACAGCTGATACAGAGAAAGTTTTAGTGGACCTGCTCAAACCATTTTGTATATTTAACAGACTACAGTGTAGAGTGAACATAACTTTTATATGTACTGGAAAACCAAAAAGTTCCCAGGACTTGCTTTAGTGTGGTATTGGCTTTGTTGCAGTGGTCTGGAACCAAACCCGCAGTGTCTCCAAGGTATGCCTACAGTGCTAAGCAAATGTTGATGAAGGAACATGCCACAGTCATGAAAGACTTGTAAGCAAAAGAAAGAAATGGAATGCATCGTAGGGTACACATAAAGACACACCATGAAATTCTCAAACTCAACACCTATGTCTTTGTGGGCTGAAATGTTCATCTAATAAAGGTATTACTAACGGCTATCTCTGAAAACTGATTAGGGCTAATTTATGTATGGTTTTTTACAGTAGAGACATCATCTTCACATTTAACTTAGACAAATTCAACTGATATTTTAAAAGAGAACAAGAAAAGTATATAACATGGGCAATCCCACCCACCATTTCCTTAAAAGTACACACTGTCCCTCAGAGGTTTCTTCATCTGTAAAGTAAGAACATGTACTCCAGAGTGTGGTAAAGTTTGAAGGAGATGACATAGAAGGTGCTCAATAAATGTTAATTCCCCTCTGACCAAAATGACTCTTTTCTGCCATCAGACTAAAGCCCAACTCCTCAACATAACATCCAACAGCCCCACAATCTGGTCTCAATCTCATTTCTGCTTCATCCTCTGTCACTCCCTACTATCATGCATGTTTGTGGCCAAACCAGTAGACAGACGCTGCCTTTGCCTGAATTGTGCTGTCTACAAAGTGCTCTCTATGACACACTACACACATCACACATGTGAAGGATCATCAAGGCCAATTTTAGTTATTCACAATTTTCACCTTATGTGCTGACTCATCCTGCATAAAGGTGTGATTCCTGCTCTATATTTCTGTACTCTGCTTTGCAATAACAGCAATAAATTGACTTTTCTAAACAAGTATTTAACACACTCTTGTACAAAGACAGGGATAATACTTGGAAGGATGCACATTTATTCCAAAACCTGATCTTCTGTCTTTCCTATCTTCATGACAGCACCATTATGACTCTTGGCTTCCAGACCAGAAACCTGGAGGTCTGTACCTTCTCTCCCAGACCCTAAGACGCTGCCTCCTGAGTATTTTTCAAATGTGTTCCCCCTTCCCTTTACCAGTGGATTCGTCTCCAAACTGATCTACTCTTTCTCCTCTTGGTGAGCCTGTAATCTACCTTCTGGAATGTTTTCAAATTGATTTCATCATGAGGGTTCCTAATCCCTCCACATTATACTCTCCAAGACTCTCCCTACCTCAAATAAAATACAAACCCTTTCAAGATCTAGTCCTCTCTACTGTCTGCCTCTCTGGACACAGGTCTGTAGTTTTTCCCTCCGTACTTACTGAGTTCAAGCACTTTGAGGCACCAAAGTTCGGGAACTCAAACTCATTCTTTAAAAGACTTGGCTTGGCCAGGTGTAGTGGCTCAAGCCTGTAACTCCAGCACATTGGGAGGTGGAGGCAAGAGGACTGCCTGAGCTCAGAGGTTCGAGACCAGCCTGAGCAACATGATGAGACCTTGTCTTTACAATAAATCAAAAAATTAGCCGGGTGTGGTGGCACATGCCTGTGGTTCCACTTACTTGGAAGGCTGAGGTAGAAAGATCACCTGAGCCTAGTAAGTAGAGGTTGCAGTGGCCATGAGAGTGCCACTGCATTCTAGCCTGGGCAACAGATAAGACTCTGACTCAAAAAAAAAAAAATAATAATATTTAGTGGGGCTTGGTGGCTTAGCCTGTAATCCAGCACCTTTGGGAGGCTGAGGTGAGTGGACTGCCTGAGCCCGCGGGTTCGAGACCCACCTGGGCAGTGAGACCTCATCTCTACAATAAATCAAAAAATCAGCCTGACGTGGTAGCGTGTGCCTGTAACTCCGGCTACTTGGAAGGCTGAGGCGGAAGGATCGCCGGAGCCCAACAGGTCGAGGCTGCGGTGGTCGGAAGCGGCCACTGCACTCCAGTCTGGGCGACAGAGTGAGATTCCAACTCAAATAATAATAAGAAGAAGAAGAAGAAGATTTGACTATGTTTCCACCTCCTCAGTGGATTCTCATTTGTTTTCTGAGCTTCTTCATCATCACCACCTTCATCACCACAGACTTATATAGCTGTCTACTTTACTCAGCAAAAAGACCCTGAAAGCAAACATTTTGATTCTACATAAACTTGCTATCAACACACAACCACTGTTTTCTGAATGAATCAGCTGGAAGGCATGAGCCCTAATGAGGCTGATAGTCTGGGTCAAGTGACTGCTTGAGAGAGATCTCTGAAGAGGTTTATTATTAGCACATCTGTGTTATTTTGATTCACTGTTAGTCTTTTTCAGTTCACTGAAAACTAAATTCTAGATATACTGATATGATTTAAGACATGTGGAGAAAATGAGGAATGGAGAAGGAGGTATAAAGAAGCAGAGAAAGACAAATGTGCTGATGAAAACTGGATGTCAGGAAAGGGAACACATCTGAAATGAATACACAGACCAGAGAGATAAAAGGCAAAAACTCATGGAACCCAGTAAAAATGGATGTCAATTTGCTATTAGAGATTCATTAGGAATGTTGTGTTTAAAACAAGTAAACTGTATATCAGAAATATTAAAAAACAGACATTGTCTAAAAGAATGCAGAAACACCCTGAAAGAAGAATCAGATTGTAAAATAAGAAAACTATTAAGAAACTAATAAAGCCTAAGCACTGTAAAAATATAACTTCATTTCACCCCCAGAAGAAGGTAGATCTTATGTTTTACACATTTTTAAACTCCCTAAGCTTTAGCAGTACTTTAGAAGTGGTCAAGATAACTCCAGTCTCAGTTTCTGAGAAGAAATTCAACAACCTTCTCACCAACCCCAGTCAAATCTAAGAACTAGAACTTATATTTACAAAAGCACTGCTTGCTTCTAAATTCTAACATATCAGAATTCTTAAGAGTTACAAATACTATGTTTACCAAGTGCTCTAAACAAATAAAACAGATTTAAACTAATCATCAGCTTACCGACAATATGGATTTCTTCGAGAGGAATAGCGAAGAGTTAGAAATCTATAGTATATAAAAGGCTGGAGCAAACTTCCTTGACCACTGCAATGAACAAATATAAGAGTGATAAATATACATGATCAATTCAGATGTATACTCTCAAAACTTAAAGGCAATTCAACTAGAGAATATATGTCATTGTCATTCATTAAATGGTCCTAGCAATAGCTATCTGTCCAAATCCAATTTTTCTTAAAAAGAAAATATAAGAATATATATGTCGGGTAAAGAGTAAAATGTTATTAAATTTTTATAAATGTATTCATATTTGTACTATTTTTGAAATTTATAAAGACTAAACAAATCAGAAATGTTACATAAATACTTCCATAGTTACCACAGACAATTGATGAAACTAAGTTTTAAAACTCCATAAAATGTTCAAATGAAATGTGACGTATTTTATGCAAACAACCCAACCCAAATAAAATTACACTGGCTAACTAGTAAATCTACATAGTCTGTACTAATTATTGTTCTTGGTTAAAAAGCACAATTTCAATACTCCAAGAGTTAAGTGTATGTTTACAAAATTCCGTCTTGAATTCGTCCCTAAAAAACCTATCTGGATTAAGATATTTACTAAAATGACTACAAATAAAATGCAGCAACAACTTGATGTAATGTTTTTAGTAAGGAAGCGGGATTAAGTAACTTATATTATGGTTATTTAATAAATTCAGTGTGCAACTAACTAAAATCCTAGTTATGAAAACTATACAGCAACTTTGAAAAAAGCAGAATATAAAGCTACACCTATTTTAAAACTACAACTGTTTTAAAATTTATTTTGGAGGAAATACATTAAGATGCAGATGTGTTTTCTTAGGTCCTTTTAGCCTTTTCTTCCAAATTGTGTGGTATTACTTTCATAGTAAAAACAATTTACATAACTACAAACTTGTTGCTAAGACAAATGCAACATCCATTTTCCCCAATAAATAATCTGAAAAATTTAAACATTTTTTAAAACTCCTAGGCTCAAGCAATTCTCTTGCCTCAGCCTCCCGAGGAGCTAGGACTGCAGGCATTCACCACCACATCTGGCTAATTTTCTATTTTTTTTGTAGAGACAGTGTCTCGCTTTCTTGCCCAGGCTGGTCTTGAACTCTTGGCCTCAAACAAGTCTCCCACCTCAGCTTCCCAAAGTGTTGGCAATTAAGGATGTGAACTACTGCACCTGGCAAATTTTTAATTTCTTAAAGTTAAAAAAATATAGACACAAAATATTCACTTAAAAAACATCATCCAAGTTAGCCTCTTCCTCAAAGTTATAGCACAATCTCTAATATATCCTTCCAGAAATATATGAACACAAGTGTATATAATGACTAATAGAATGCTCGCTTTATCATCTACTGTATCAGTCTGACAACTCTACAAGAGAAGTGATATCATTACTATTTATCATTCCCAAGAAACTGAGACACATATATATGTTCTCTCTCTCTCTCTCTCTCTCTCTCTCTCTCTCACACACACACACACACACACACACACACGGCCACAAAATATAAATGGGGGAACACTCTAAACTGTTCCTAACTTTAACATATTATATCTTGGAAATCATTCCATATTACAACATAAATTACCTCATCCTTTGCTACAGCTTCAAGTATTCTGTCTTATGCTCATACTACTACGTGACAAGATCCCTACAAATGAATATTTAGAATAGCTCCAGTTCACAGTTAGAAAGAGCTGCAGTGATCACCCTTCTCTTTGCACATGTGTGCAATGTGTGTAAGATAAACTCAGACTATGCACTCATTTTTTTTTTTTTGACAGGGTCTTGCTCTGTTGCCCAAGCTGAAGAGCAGTGATATGATCATGATCATAGCTCACTGCAACCTCCAACTCCTGGGATCAAGCGGTCCTCTTGCATCAGGCTCCTGAGCAGCTAGGACTATAGGCATGTGCCACCATACCTGACTAACTTCTAATTTATTGGAGATGGAGTCTCACTATGTTGTCCAGTTGGTCTCAAACATCTGGTTTCAAGCAATCCTCCCACTGTAGCCTCCCAAAGCACTGAGATTACAGGCAACCACCATGCCCAGCTGATTTTTAAATACAGAACTTTGAGCATTATTGAGACAAATATAACTTAATAGAGCCTTCTAATATTAGATAGCGTGTCTACCACAAGGAAAGCATATATGGAATAGTCATAATTTAAGATTGTTTTTAATTTTATAGTTTGGGTTATATTCAAGTTACATACTTAAAGCATTAATAGCTGTTCCTGTTAGGAATTAAGTACAACTTTATAAGTTGATTTTAATTTTTTAAAAAAGCAAAATTTCTCAGACTAGGCAAAATAGCGAGACCTCGTCTCTACAAAAATTATAGAGAAAAAATTAGCTGAGTGTGGTGGTGTGTGCCTGTAGTCCCAGTTTCTAAGGAGGCTGAGGCAGAAGGAACATGTAAGCCCAGGAGGTAAAGACTGTGGTGAGCCGTGATTGTGTCACTGCCCTCAGCCTGGGTAACAGAGTGAGACCTCAAATAAAAAACAAAAAAAATCTCTATTTAAATATTTCTGACAAATTCTCATCTCCTTCACAATAATCTTCCATATTAATGTAAGTTTGTGGTGAGGCTCAGTAGCTCAGCCTGTAATACCAGCACTTTGGGAGGCTGAGGCGAGTGGATTGCCTGAGCCCATGGGTTCGAGGCCAGTCCAGGCAACCTGCCAAGATCTTGTCTCTACAATATAACCTGTATTTCCAGCTACTTGACAGCTGAGGCAGAAGGATGGCCAGAGCCCAGCAGGTCGACACTGGGGTGGCTTTGAGTGTGCCACTGCACTCCAGCTGGGTGACAGACTAAAACTCCAACTCAAAAAAAAAAAAAAAGGTAAGTTTGTACATAATAAATGTTAAAGTAAGATATCTAAGGAGCATAACTGAATTAATGTACCAATGCAGTCAAAACCTGGTGCTCCTAACAAAAAATTCACTGTAGTTCCAAATGAAGTTTTTGTCTGAGCTTGCATGGCATCTAAGGATTTCATTAAAAGTATCTTCAACTAACTTAAAGAGGAGTATAATAAATTATTAGGTTTGGTTAAACAGAAAACTGGAAGTATCTGAATGCAGACATCAATTATACACATATAAAAAAACTAGTTTGGTATCTATCATTTCAACTTTCATTCAGTTACATGAAATAAATCATAGAATCTGGTGTGACCAAGAGCAAATGAAGTAACCCCAAAAAACAGAAGAATAAATAAGAAAAGTAAGGGGGCAAAAAGTTCCTTTCACGAATTAAAACTTCTAAGTGCCTAATCAGGATCACAAAAGAGAAGAAAAGGCCTATAAATGATGGAAAAATACTAGAATTTTAATTGTCCCATTTTCTATTATCCCAGATTACATTACACCTTTCTTTTATATGCTTTCAGCTTCCAGAATAAGAGAAGACTTTATTATTAAACCTTAGTTTCAAAGTTTTAGAGTTAATTTATAAATACAGCTGTATCAAATCCTACATTCAGCATTCAGAGAATGCTGTAGATGTAAAGATTTTAGGCATCTACCTATTTCAATTAATATTAGTTTTTTTTTGGAGTTGGTATCTCACCCTGTCGCCCAGACTAGAGTGCAGTGGCATGCTCCCGGCCACCACAGCCTCGACCTGCTGGGCTCTGGTGATCCTTCCGCCTCAGGCTTCTAAGTAGAAGGAACTACAGGTGTGTGCTAATTTTTGCCTTATTGTAGAGACAAGGTCTCACCAAGTTGCCCAGGCGGGTCTCAAGCCCGTGGGTTTAGGTAATCCACTCACCTCAGCCTCCCAAAGTGCTGGGATTACAGGCTAAGCCACCGAGCCCGGCCAATCGTTTTTAAATGAGGGGGGAAAAGGCTCAGAAGGCCAAGTAAATGGTCAAACCAACCAAAATATAGGTTCACACCCATCAAGAAGTCTTTTCATTGTATCATTCCAGAACGTCATTTAAATAGATTACAATTCCTAGTATGAGACTCCACAACTTAAGCAACACGTGACAATCTTGGAGTTCACAGAGAAAAGCATTATTTAAAAGAATGAAACAGGCCAGGCTCAGTGTCTCAGTCTACAATTCCAGCACTTTGGGAGGCCAAGGTGAGTGGATTGCCTGAGCCTGCGGGTTCAAGACCAGCCCAGGCAACTTGGTGAGATCACGTCTCTACAATAAGTAAAAAATTAGCCAGGTGTGGTAGCACGTGCCTGTAGTTCCAGCTACTTGGAAGGCTGAGGCGGAAGGATCACTAGAGCCCAGCAGGTTGATGCTGGGGTGGCTGTGAGTGTGCCACTTCAGCTTGGGTGACTGAGTGAGACTCCAACTCAAAGAAAAAAAGTATGAAACAGACTCATTTAGAAGAAAATTTATAAAACTGTCCTTAGGTGAAGAGATTGCTAAAGAAGTAATTGTCAGGTATATGAAAACCTTACTAGTTAATCAAGGTAACGTACATTAAAAACTATAATAATTAAGCTTATATTCAACAAAAACAGTTCTGGCATATGTTAAAGAAAACACTGACATATTGAGTATAAGTAGGTGAAAAAAAAAATGTACTGCATAAATATTAGGTAAAATAAAGACAATTTTTTTTTGAATAGGGCCTCACTCTGTTGCCCAGGCTGGAGTGCAGTGACACAATCATGACTCACCACAGTCTTGACCTCCTGGGCTCAGATAATCCTTCTGTCTCAGTCTTCCAAGCAGCTGGGACTACAGGCGCATGCCACCATGCCCAGCTAACTTTCTGATTTATTATAGAGACAAGGTCTTGTGAAGTTGTCCAGGCTGGTCTTGAACTTCTGGCCTTAGGTAATCCTCTCACTCACTCCAGTCTCCCAAAGTGCTGGGAGGCACAGAGCTACTGTGCCTGGCTCACAATATAATAATATATATTTTCTACAGATCTGTGTAAGTACTTTTAAAGAACTGTATACATGTGCACATATCAAACTCCTTACCTCTATGAAAGGGACAAAACTTTAACTATGATTCATACTGAAATGTTATGTTAACTTTTATCTGTAATGTCCTATTTCCTATAAAACTAAAAATGGAAAAAGCAATCATCCAGGTAGCGATGTGTATTGTTTTGAAACTTAAATACAAGAATATCAATGCAAGTCAATACAATTTTAATGTTCTAATTTTTAAAAAGAAGGCTTGTCTACAGCTGTACCACCCTGAGTACACCCAATCTTGTCTGAAAGGAAGGCTTATTTATCTATTACTTCTGTAACTAAGATTAATAATGGAAGAATGGACTACACTAGACTTCATAAGATTCTTTCAGAGGTAGTAATTCTGAAAGTAATTTTCAAAATGTTAAATAAAAAATCACAAGGAATGAAGTTTAAGACAAATTCCTAGGCTTTCTATCCAAAATAAATGTATTTTTTTTTTCTTACCTAAAAAGCATAAAAACTGTAGCCGGCATCAAGAATATTTCATTACAAGCAATGAATTTCAGAATATTTTGTTGATTAGCACTTAATTTGTCCAAGACAGATCTCAGCAGAGGTAAACTGTTTGAACCCCTTGCCTAAAACAACAAAAAAAGAAACATTAGAAATAAATGAAGCATTTTTGATAACTCAATTACTTTCTTTCTTTAGATAAATAGTCTAACAGGCAATTCAACCAAAAGCCAACTTTTTGAGAATGATATCAAAGTTTACAAACTACTTAGGAACAAACGCTGGTGTATTTTCCTGTTTTGCTTTGTATAATTAAAGACTTAACCGAATAAAGTAGCTTTAGTCAAAAGTACTTTTCATTCTTAGATGCTTTATTTTTTTTTTCAGAAAGATTAGATTATTTCACCAAAAAATGGTGGTCATTTCTCTCCAACCACATCAAAATCTGACTAGTCAGTAACAGTTAAAATGTATGACTTCTTTGCTAACTAATGTTAGAAATTGCCCAGTTGAGTTACTGCTGTGACCAAAGAATTACGATGATAAAGAAAAATGCCAACAAGGCTTAAATTTGGATATTTTAATTCAAATTTCAGTACATATGCAGTAAATCTGCTTAGTCCACTCAAGTTAGGCTTAATGTTTCAACCCAGCAATAAGAAAAAATTTCAGGAAAGCAGCAGTTTGTAAGGAATAGAGGAACTTTTTGTGACAAATGCTAAGTTGTCTTAGAACTCAAATTCACATCAACAATCTATAATTCAGGAGTCAAAGAAACAGCACAGTTTTACTTACATCAAGGACTTTTTTCGTGTATGTGGCGGCATGAAGCAAAGAGAACAACAAAACTGGGAAAATACTCACTGAAGAAAACATTTAAGGAAAACATCTAAAAGTCATCAAGTACTTGCAAAACAGACTATGTATTATGTCCAAGTACACAGATCTGAAATGGTATCTGCTAAAATGAGTTCAGTGGAATAGCTTCTGTTTGACTGGTACACTTTAAGCCAAATCAAATTTTGTTAACTGTAAAGAAGAAAGCAAACTATTTAATTTTCTAAAACTCAGTTTAATAGTGAAGAAACTTTTTTTATTTCTACCAGTTATTAAAACACCATGAATACTCGCTAAATTAAATTGAAATCTAAGCCATTTCAAAGGATTAAATATAGCTTTTAACTGCACAATGGCCTTTCTGGCAACTCTAACTTAGCTTTCATACACAGAAATAATCTTTTATAAACTCTTGTTTCAATTGCTGAACAGTCTGAGGTAATGGTTTACAGTTCCCAAATTTTTAGCCCCCAAAACTAAAGATCTTTTATCTGTTTCCTAAAAAGACACCATTATTTTGAAACACTGTACCTATCAAGCTGTTAACAATTAGGTTCCCAATTTGTAAAAATTAAAAAGGCAGTATATATTTGGTTTTGTATACAGTCATTAAAAAAATCTTATCGGTTCAGTTTAATTATACGCAGAGAGTATATATATTTGAGTCCAGCTGTTTGGCTTTATGCCATAGATTATACAATTCTGACAAGTTTTTTTGTGTCAGGGTCTCACTCTGTCACCCAGGCTGGAGTGCAGTGGCATGATCATAGCTCACCACAGCCTCGGCCTCCTGGTCTCAGGCAATCTTCCTGCCTCAGCTTCCCGCACAGCTGGGACTACAGGTGTGTGCCATTATGCCTTGCTAATTTTTAAAAACTTTTTTTTATAGAGACAAGGTCTCACTATGTTGCCCAAGCTGGTCTTGAACTCCTGGGCTCAAGCAATCCCCTTGCCTCAGCCTTCTGAAACACTGGGAGTACAGGCTCCCGCCGCAATTTTCATTAAACTTTTTGAAAAGTGAAAACTGCTCAAAAGATCCCATTCTTCACCCCAATTTCTGCCAGGCTGATTAAAACAACAAACAAAAAACCAAAAACTTGACAAGTTTTCCTATGAATGATATAGGCCATCAGTCAATCATGAATAGCAAAAGCATTTGTCTTAAAAAGGTTAGCAGCTTCTAAGAAATGAACCATTATTTTTTTTATATACTAACTGAAGGCCTGACATAATGGAAACAGTGACTGAAATAACACAATCTGAGGATCAAATTCATTATAACCTTAACTCATTTAGAACCAAGGTTCCCAGTTTCTACTTGGCGAGCAAGACACCAACCTATAACCAAGTATCAGAAGGACGCTAACTATCTAATAACATAGTGGTTCTCTAAATTAGTATCTTGACCATTTCTTTCCCACCACTCACAAGATTTATGAAAAATGCAAATATCCTGATAAGGACCATATATGTATACAAAAGCTTTAAACTTTTTAGTGAATCACAGACTACTTTGAAACTGGTGGAAGCTTCAACTCTCTCCTACAGTTACTGTAAAACTGCTGCTGTTCAAATAATTCAAAGTAAATAAACTTTGACACATATCTAGATCAAAGCTTGAGTCAATAAGGGGTGGTATCAGGTAGTGAAAATGGAACCCTGAATTGGGAGTCAAGAGACCTGGGTTCCCACTCTTGGCTCTGTCACTAACCTCATTTTCTCAGGCCAAGTTTCATACTCTGTCAAACGAATAGGCAGAGATTTCTAATGTGTCTTCTATCTCTAACATTCTATAGTTCCTAAGTCCTTGGTAAGAGACTCATAATAATAGCTTCCAATGTTACATTTTTTTTTTTAATGGGGTCTCACTGTTGTTACCCAGGCTGGAGTACAGTAGCACAATCATGGCTCACCACAGCCTTGAACTCCTGGGCTCTAGTGATTCACCTGCCTTAGCTTCCTGAGTAGCTGAGGCTACAGAGGTGTACCACCACAAATGGCTAATTTTTCTGTTTTGTTTATAGAGACAGGGTCTTGCTTTGTTGCTGAGGCTGAATCAAGTTACTTTTAAACTGCTACAAATTCAGAAAAGAGGTGTAAAGTCTGCAATTTAAACCCTCAGTACCTGTCATTAATAGAGCAAGGACAATGTATCACCTTTGTAAGAACAAAGATCTGAACACAAATCTGTGATATCACTTTCAGCCCACCCTTATTACCATAATACCCAACTGCCTTAGAAATCAGATTAGCATTTCTTGCTAATTACAAGTTTATGTTCTTCCCACTGCTCATTACTTTTCTTCTGTAAGAATGTAAGGAATACAAAATCCTTCATCTTCAACAGTCTCACAAGGGAAGGGTTAGAAAATAGCCAGCTGCAAAGAAAAGGCAGTGAGGCTATCTCCACCAGGACTGAGTCTCATCTGGCATGATTCAGGATTCAACAAGACTAGCTGAGGGCCGGATCTATGTAAGGAGCTGTCCCAGAGTTAAGTATAGATATATTCAGTGACTCTACATTACTTACCTGGAAAACACATTTTCTGTTATTTCTCCTCCCTCCAAAGAAATGTTAAGATACTAAAAGGCATTACCAAAAATCTCTACATCACTTCCCATTGTATCTCAGAAAAGCAAAAATTTTAATACTGGTTATTGCAAAACACCTCAGTGAATGTGACCAACAAATGCTGATCAATCCAATGACATGCCAAACTGATGTGATTACATCATCTACAGTTGTAGTATAATAATCATTTCAGGAGTTTTACCTAAAAATGAACACCCATGGAACATTACAGACTCATTCACTGAAACATGAAAAACTTTTTCTTATGTTTTAAACTACTTATATTATCCTGGTAAAGCAAGGAATTTAAACAGGATCTCCACATACTGAATAGTTAAGTGAAGTTACAGTTTTACCCATGTACAGACAGAATTTTTTTTTTTTGAGTTGGAGTCTCACTCTGTTGCCCAGGCTGGAGTGCAGTGGCACACTCACAGCCACCCAGTGCTGACCTGCTGGGCTCCAGTGATCCTTCCACCTCTGCCTTCCAAGTGCGGGAACTATAGGCGCATGCTACCACACCCAGCTAATTTTTAATTTATTTTTTGTAGAGATGAAATTTCGCCAAGTTGCCCAGGCTGGTCTCGAACCTGTGGGCTCAGGTAAATCCACTCATCTCGGCCTCCCAAAGTGCTGGGATTATAGGCTGAGCTACTGAGCCCAGCCCAGAAATATTTTAACACTATACTTAAGTGTTACTCACCCATTAACTGTAGATTGGGTAGGGTTTTTAAGTTAGAAAGACCTTGTAAGCAATACTACTTACTAGCCAACGTATGTCATACTGAGGCTCAACATCCTTATCAATATAACATTTTTTTCTTCAAAGTGCTACAAATATTAAATACATCAAGTTCCTATATACTGGCAAAATAGGTGCTCCGGAAATTTTTGTTTCTTCTTATTTTCTTTTTCTTAAGATTTGTAAAAATTTGATACTTCATGAACATGGATATGACATAAACAGGCAATATTTAGTCTTAGAAAAACATTTTACTGTGCTTTACGTTATGTATAGTCATATCATAAACATTCAAAAGTTCTTAGAGCAGCACTTCTCAAATCACAGAATAATTTTCAGAGGTATGATCTACAGGAAAACAACAAAAATGAAGCTTAAGATCCTCTGGTACCTGTTTTAGCCTCATAAGGCACTTAGAATATCAAACGCCCTACAGTCAAGAACCCTATTTAAACACATTTAACCTTGTACTTCCCAAACACACGGAGCTGTGGAACTGCTCCCCATCCCTCTCCTCCTTTTTAAATAAGACTCATCAATACACCACAACACATTTCTGAAAACTGAAAACATATAAATGTCAAATGAGTTTTTTAATTCTCATGAGCTCCAGGGATTATCCATGTGTTCTTCTTTTCTACTCTATCCACAGCAAGTATTAATTTGTTTTTATTAATTATTCTACTCCCTGCTTAAATAAGTTACTTCTTAATTAAATTCCATTTGTTTTTAGCTCACTGGGAGTTAAGAAAGGAATGCGCTAAGGCCCTCTTTTTAAAGCAAGATATCTGGACACTTTCCCAAAAGATGTGAATTAAATGAAAGAGAATTTTAAATACTAAAGTTGTGCATAAACCTGTACTTTGAATCTGAATTTTAAAATATCTATTCTAATGGAGAAACTAACAGGAGGCAAGAACAAAACAGACAAAGTTTAAAATACTCAAGTCAGTTCTCCAAAGTTCAGATATCACATATTAGACTCAAAAATTCTCAGACTAAACATATCTTCATTCAAATGAAGTGCCAAGAACAAACCCAGGCTTCATGGAATGCCCTCATATATGCTTAGCTGGCAATTTGATTGTCAAAACGGTAGAAAAGGATACTTGTAACGGGGTAGGAATTGACAAAGATGAGTGAGTACAATAAGTAGTGGCAGCTGTCCTCTAACAACGCCTGGGCCAGGAATGCTCGGCTTAACTGGAAGTGTGGCAATCTCTGATGCAGCCTCAGAGCACTGGTGAGAGCATTCGCCAGCAAAGCACGCTGGTAAAAGCTTGCTGCTTCATGCAACCTGCAAATTACCAGAGAAGTTATCATGAGACATAAACAACTACCAGGCCTCTTCCTCCTTTGTGAATTGCATCATAATTGCACAACACCTAAATCCTTTAATTGTCAATAGGAAAAAAATATCTTCTTAAAGGCATCACTTCACACATATGCCCAATCGAATTATTATATTCGATTTGCAAAACTGAATATAAAATTCAACTTTATGTTCAAATTTATGATGCTTGATTTTTACCATCAAGCAAGTGATTTTTCCTGTCAAGTGATAAAAGGTCAAAAATGAAAAAAACTATCTCATCTCATCCCCACACATCTGTTTTCCTCAGATTTTCAATGATATGTTAGTTTCCCAAAGCACAAGAAATACAATCTTCCTCCAACTGATAATGTTATTAGGTTATTAGTACCTAGTTGGAATGTGTTTTATTTGTCTCTGAACACTTTACAGTTTAATAAGTCTTATACCTAAAAGTATTTCCATATAAACTGGCTGAACAATTCGACACCAAAGGCAGCAATATACGAATAATAAATACATACCCAAGAAGAGGCAGAACAAACAAAGCAGAGCAGTATACTGTGAACAAGCGGGAAAGCCACATTGCCGTGTCCAGTTTATTGGTCATCATGAATTGCTAAATTTAGAAAGAAAAATATGTAGTAAGCTAAACTTGCAAATTATGTTTTTAAGGAAGAAGACTGTGCAATTCTATTTCTATTAAAAAATGTTTGAACAAACGTGTTACATTTGTTTTTTACATTAAGAGAAAACTCTAAGGCAATTAGGTGTTTCATGTATATGCTTAATGACAAGTCCAAACAACTTACAGTTTTGATGTGAAAAGCACAGAAAGTGCTTAAATGTAAATAAATAGAAAAATTCCAGCCAGGTGCAGTGGTTCACGCCTGTAATCCCAGCACTTTGGGAGGCTGAGGTGAGAGGATTGCCTGATCCCGGAGTTCGAGACCAGCCTGGGCAACACGGTGAGACCTCATCTCTACAGTAAATAAAAACATTTTCTGGGTGTGGTGCTGCATGCCTGTAGCTACTTGGGAGGCTAAGGCAGAAGGATCGCCTCAGCCTAGGTTGAGGCTCTGGTAACTGTGATCGCGCCACTGCACTTCAGCCTAGGTGACAAAGTGAAACCCCAACTCAAAAAACCAAACAAACAAAAATCTTGAGGTGACATTTTAAAAAATAAAGGCTAATTAATTAGGAAAAACTGAGTTGGAGTCTCACTCAGTTGCCCAGACTGGAGTGCAGTGGC